GTGCATTTCTCTCTAATGCATGAAAAATAGTCTCAGGCATATTTTGATAGCACACTGATGTAAACCTAACACAGAGCAGAAGGATTGGATGAATAATCRTACTGCTAATCCCCCCTGCTGTCACACAAGAAATACACGTCAAGAAATATATAGGTATATCGGTTAACCTTAGCATCTGCCACCAGGGCAAAATCACAATGGCACTGGAAATGGCACAGCAGACAGAGTGACCTTCTGTCAGTACTATCCCATCACCATACTCTGGAGGTTCAGCTCTCCAGTGCTGACACAACCTGCAGTCTGTGTGTACTTGACACTTTCCAGCAGTGGGACATTTCAACCCTGTGGGGAATGCAGCACACTTCCCATGGTATATTCAGATAACTCTGTAGTTTAGTGACTGTGAGACAGAGTCACCGTTTAATTTCTTGCTCTACTTAACTTATTCAGAGCCCCATAAGAATGATGCAATGCTAAGACAGTTTCTTGCTGTTGTGCAACATCACTAAGGGATCGGTTTTCCGTTCTTTTCCCCTGTAAAYTTCCAACATGCTTGAAAGGAAGTGTTTCTAGAAAATGGGCTTTAGTCAGAATTGTATGGTCAGAGACAGGATTGTTGTGGGCAAGCTGTCAAAAATGTTTTTTTCCTCACAAGTTACTTAAGCTTCCACTTAATCGAGTGAGTCCAAGAATCCATGCAGTCTTTTAAGACCACAGCACTCTTGGTGTTTTTATATCCCTCATGAGTTAGCTTTAGTACCTTCAGTTTCTATAATTTTCTTTTACAGTGGGGGAGGATGCAAGTCCTTTTGCATATTTCAGTGGTGAGAGCTAAACTAAGCATCATGTGAGTATTACGGTGTGTTCCAGTTATCTAAACCGAGGACATGTCCACTGTGCCATCTACCTGCTGAGTCTATCCCTGAGGAGGGCTTCAGAGGAGGACTGACTTGCAGCTGRTTTTCACCTTGGCAGGGAACCAGGACATGGTGGGCATTCATGCCTGGCCTCAAGAGCTCATGGCTTGAAACACAGCTTGTTTTTTATGCTATAGATATACACTGTAAAGAGCAAAACACACTATCAAGACTGAAAAACACTTGCCACCCAGATGCATGAAAAACACTACTTTCTCTTGGGCAGCCTTCACGAAAATTAGAATAATAATCAGGCCTATTTAATGYTAATTTATTTTCTGCTGTCAAAAAGAACTGATGGTTTATTCTAGCATTTTGTGCTCTGTCTCAGAATATCCCTCAAAATTTCTAATTGGGATCTTAGGTCTTCCTTATATCTTTACGTGAGAGAATTGTTAATACATAGTCCTGAAATACGATGTTGATATGCTTGCTATTCTACACAACTATTTTTTAATATCACAGATTTAGTGGTTTCTTTTTCATACCTGCAACTCAGTTTTTCATACTCCCTTCCATGTTTCTGCTTGAAAACAGAGAGAGGAAAGTCATGGAATGTTAACAAGCACTCATTGTATTTGCCTTTAAGTCAGGGAGGCTGCATGAGGAAGAAATGAAGAAGTTGTCATCCTGATATGAGAACAAAGCCGAGTGATAGTTGCATTGTAAAAACATTAAGGAAACTCCCTGCATTTTACAGTCACTCCCAGTCCTTTCAAATGACAAACCACTGAAAGAATTTCTAGGTAGGCTAAGTGCTCTCTCTGGTATTTTAGAAAATGGAAGAAAACAGAAGGTAAAGCATATGTTGTGTTAAGAGAAATTTTGAGATTGAAGGTGTGATGCCACTTAGACACTGACAGCTGCAGTGGTCATAACTTAAAATGTCTTCACAAATACTGAAATCACAGAATCAAAATTCTGCTGTGATATGGAACATCACTGCTCAAAAAGCATGCAATGTTTTGAAAGACCTCTTAGCTGGTTTACGAATTATTTTTCTCATCTGCAGCTTCTCATTTGCAGCTTTATACTGCAAATATAAAACTATGTTTCTACTTTCTACTAAGTAAGTCTAATTCACTTACTTATCATACATACAACTTCTAAAACTCCACACTGTTGTCCTGATATCACCAGAAGCAAAAAAGTAAGGCTTTTAAAATTAAGGAGTCCAGTTAATCTAATTAATGGGTTTGACCATTTACATTCAACTCACTCTAGATGCTTCTTTTTCTTACTACAGTCCACTGTCGATTTCATCTCTGGAAACAGACCAGCCCATGTTCTCAATTCTTCTCTTCAGCAGTCTTTATAATTTATTCATGTTTAACCCTTCCATTAAATAGTGCTGCTTACATTCCTTCTAACTTTTCAAAAGGATAGAATAACTTCGTTCTGCCCTATTTGTAAATGAAACTAAACCTTCTGTTTGGTCTTCATAGGTGTTTTTTGGGCTAGGCTGGTGGGTTTTGAGCCTTGCTGCATTCATAAAATCTTTCTGGATTTGCTGGCTAGTGCATGCATCTGCTCCATTGATATTTCTATCCTGATTCTCCATACTGTTCTTCAACAGCTTTCTGGACGATCATTTCAATTACAGCACAGTCTTGAGATTTTATTTTCCCAAGAAGAATTACATAATGTTTATACTCTGTCATATTTGCCATCTGCTGATCCAACCACATAAACAATACAAATTCTTAAAAACCTGAGATTTTCCTCGGTATCTGCTTCTAATCTAACTGTTGACAAATGTGCAGCTTTGTGCACACACTCCTGCTTTATGATTACYTCTCCAGTGAATACTTGCACCTCTTTGGAGGCTCTCAGCATACTTGAAGAAATCTCTTCATGGAGGACATGCAGAGGATACATGTGAGAAGGTGTTTTTCAGGCAATGCATGTAATTGCATTCAAAATCAAAAGCAAGGCAAGGGAAATTAAGTCAACCTTAACAGAGGACATCAGGAATTCAGAAGGCAGAGGTGTTCTTAGTTTATGGGTAAATTCTTTGGAACTAGTTAATRCTCAAGTGGCTGTCAACAAGATACAACTTTTTAGTCCAGCTTTAAATTACTGTTTTCCAGTGTGACTCTGCTGTGACTAAGRACTTAAACTAGAAATCCTAATTCATGTGATTATACATTTATATATTCAAGCCATAATGAAACACTTGTGATCACAAGAATCAGGCCTTAAAAAAACAGACTCTTTCAATAAGAAAGGCTGTATTTACAGAGTTCCTAATAATTTTATGTATGTGTCAATTTCAATTCTGTGTCCTGCTGACAAGAGTGGAGAAGACATCATTTCACATCCTGCAAATGACAAATTATGTATATTACATTTTCTAGCTAAAATATATACTGTTTTGTTASTGTGAACAACTATATTGGAGTGATATGTGTCTGTGAGGGTCCTTTTTCCCTTTTTAAGCGAAAAACAGACCCCAACATGAAAGTTCTATCCATTTTAAGAGATTAAAATTGTTTAACTAGCTAACAAAAACACAGAAATATCTTTGGAACTGTAGCTGACAAAGACCAAAAAAGGTAATTTGTGAAATCAACAAGGATCTTTGCACTGCCTTAAGGCTATCATAGTTTTGGTGTAATAAACACTCTCTAAAAACACATCAGAATCCTGCCTAACACAATGTTATTGTGCCATTACTGCCATTGCTTCTTCGGAAAACAATTCATGGGAGACTGCCACYGATCCCAGTGGGGGAAAGGTAAGGGACGGTATCTTATTTGCCTGTGGTCCTACCTACACGGATTACTAAACTAAAACAGGAACATGGGCCTATAATTTGGTTCTCACACATGCACAGCATCAAACGRTGCATTTGTCAAGGATGTGCCTATGAGTTGGCCAGCGCTGAGTATTTTCAGCATTGCTTTAAAGAACCCAAAATCCGTATGAAATGATTAATTTCGGTGCCCGGAAAAGTCATACAATTTAAAAGGTCTCTGTAACAGAACCAGGCGCTCCAGAAGCTGACCGGATTTGATACCCAATATATTCAGTGGTGCCTCCCATGCAGGGGAACGCTGAAAAGCCGCGATGCTGGCGTGCGGCAGGTGCCGGCAGTCCCGCCCGCCCGATTCTTCGCTGCCCTCGGCGGGGCCCGGCTTTTCCTGCCGTGTGCCCGCACTGGGATCGAGCCCCGCTGGAGCCGCCGCCTCACGCACCGCGGGCATTGTGCCCCGGCCCCGCCCGCACCTGCTGACAGTCCGCCTGCCTCGGCGCGCCGCAGGAGCCCGCCCTCACGGCCCCCCGCCCTCAGGG